CGGGGGAGTGATGGAGCGTGGGGTTGCGTGTGTGTGTGGCGGCGGATGGAGTGGGGTTGCGTGTGTGTGTGGGGGGGGGGGGAGTGATGGAGCGTGGGGTTGCGTGTGTGTGTGTGGTGGCGGGGGAGTGATGGAGCGTGGGGTTGCATGTGTGTGTGTGGCGACGGGGGGGGGGAGGTGGGTTGCGTGTGTGTGCAGCGGGGGGAGTGATGGAGCGTGGGGTTGCGTGTGTGTGTGCGGCAGCGGGGGGAGTGATGGAGCGTGGGGTTGCGTGTGTGTGTGTGCGGCGGGGGGAGTGGGGTTGCGTGTGCGTGCGGCAGCGGGGGAAGTGATGGAGTGTGGGGTTGCGTGTGTGTGTGCGGCAGCGGGGGGAGGGGGGTTGCGTGTGTGTGTGCGGCGGCGGGGGGAGTGGTGGTGCGTGGGGTGTGCGGCGGCGGGGGGAGTTATGGAGCGTGGGGTTGTGTGTGCGTACGGCAGGGTGTGTGTGTGTGCGGGAAGCAGCGCGGCAGGGCTTGGAGTGGGCATGGGTTCCGCAGAGAGAACGTTGGCCGGAAGGCTGTGTGCACGCACCAGGGAACTTGCGTCTGGGCGCCAATGCGCATGCTCAGTTGTTTTGCCGTTTTGTGAGTGTGTTGTTGTGTTGTTTTTCATTTTGAGTAGATATGTTTGTACCTTGTGGGTTGTGTTATGGGCATGGGAATTTTGGTTAAGTTTCGTTGGGGGGTTTTGTGAGTTTTGTTGTTTTGCCGTTTTGTGAGTGTGTTGTTTTTCATTTTGGGTAGATATGTTTGTACCTTGTGGGTTGTGTTATGGGCATGGGAATTTTGGTTAAGTTTCGTTGGGGTTTTTTTGAGTTTTGTTGTTTTGCCGTTTTGTGAGTGTGTTGTGTTGTTTTTCATTTTGCGTAGATATGTTTGTACCTTGTGGGTTGTGTTATGGGCATGGGAATTTTGGTTAAGTTTCGTTGGGGGGTTGTGGAGTTTTGCTGTCCGGTTGAACCAACCTAACAGATTTATATATATAGATAGTCTGAGGGTAATTTTATACACAACATTTTAATCATTTTGTGCATGTAATGAAGTTTGTATACAAAGAAAGCAAACCTGTCCCTATCTCAGCCACCTATATGGGTAATTTTTGTGTTCAGACTATTTTGGATTTTGGAATACCAAATAAGGGATGCTCAATCTGTATTTAATGATGTGACATATACAACAATTGAGATATAACAATAAATTAATAACAATGTATTGTTGAAGGCTTTCATGGCCGGAATCACTGGGTTGTTGTAGGTTTTTGACATAGATGCAGGCGAAACGTCAGGAGAAATGCCTCTAGAACATGGCCATATAGCCCGAAAAAATCTACAACAACCCACAAATTAATAACAGTTTCCAGAAGAGCTGTTCTTTTCATTTTTTTTGTAATTAAAATGACAGAAAAACTCTTTGAGCCTTAAAGAGCAACACATTTTTATCAGAGGTATGCTTTTATGGATTGAAAGCTACTGATTTAGAATTCTTAAGTAGGTTCAATTTTCATAGCCAAAATGATCAGCCAGTTGGCCTTATCAAAACAGACGATATAAACACAACATACTGTATACATCCAGTTCTCGTAAAATTATAAATATACAAGTACAGATAGAAAAAGTGGGGATGACCAACTTATAACCAAATGTACCTTAATCTTAGATGTATACATAAGATGTCCTTGTCCCTCTTACTCTGTATACTAATCTGACCAGTATTCCCTGCTCTCCTTTTAAATGCTTTAAACAGATAAAGTGCAACTTTTGTTGTTACAATGGAATTATAACCAGCTAGTAGTAATGTGGTTTTGATCACTATATCCAATCTCGTTTTATTACAAATAAAAGGCCATAAATCTTGTCTCCTTTCTTTTTCGTATAAACAGCATTTATGTAATATGTGGTTCAGGTTTTCAACTTCAGAGGCGCCACAGATACAGAGTCTTTCATGGGGTGGGATATTATTGAATCTACTGTGTCTCTCCATGGACTCCATTTGTTCAAATCTGGCCCTTGTAAAAGTGGTTCTTTGGTGTCTTGGCATATTAACTTTTAAATAAAGCGCCCACAGGAAATTTTGTTTAAAATGACCTAACCACTTCAAGGAGCCTGTATTTGGCAGAGTGGCTATATCCTTCTGCACTTCAACATCTAAAATCCAAGTTCATGGCCTACGCATTTTCACTCATGTGCAATTAAAACTAGGGCATGCTCAAACATTCTGACAAGACTACTATCCCATAGATACCCAGTGTCTTTAATCCCGATAATAAAAGTTTACAAAGTAAAGATCGTCCCTATGATATGGTACAGGGTCGAAATTTGGAGTCTAAACAAATTATCAATAATGGAACCAAATACAATAAAAAATCTCTAAGACAGACGCAGGAGGTAGACACAAGGACCACCGCTGCTGCTTTTAGAGCGGAATTAGAAATATACTCCATTGAAGGACTCGCTAAAATCAGGGTCTTCAACTATTGCTCTAAGACAAAAAAAACCTGGAAAATGGTAGACCCCAAAATTATGCTTGACAGAACAATCTAGTGGCCAAATCCAGGCTTCCTGGTCAGACCAATTAATAAGGTTCCCCTGCACTTGTGGATTGCAAATCTCTTCCTTAGGAAATAATAGGGATGTTGAGAAAAGGAATTTTCATCATAGCAGTTAAAATGCATATACAGAAAAAAGACATGTTAATTTTGTAAAATAATTTGAAAACAAAATAAAAACACTTTTTCATATAAAGATTATTGTGTTGCAACTAAATGTGCAAATGAAAAAAATAGGGTCCCCTTCAGCGCAAGTATAGGCTAAGGCAAGATAAGATGAAAGGAAAACTAATTTATGAAAGACAGTAAATCATTGTCATGACATTTACATAGAACCTTAATAGTGTCACCTGGGAACAAATCAGTGTGCGAGTGTGTGCCTCGTACATATCACATTTGAAACCTTGGAAGATAAGGCCTTTCGATGGCATAGTGTTGAGCTAAAATTACCACTGCTGCCCTCCTCCCGACCCCAGAGGATTGCTATAAAAGATTTAGAGCAAATTTTAAAAAATGTATGCATGCATTTAGCCAGCTTACCTGTAGGAATGGGCCATCAGCCCAAAGGCAAACTTCCAGCATTGAACAGGGAGTTCTGCAGAGCAACATATCCACATACCTTTGGATAATAATAGAAGCCTCTCTTTGATTAGTTCCTTGATCATGCAGACTTTTACTCGTGTTCAAGCAAACACAAGTAAATGTTCAGATCATACCTTTCCCCTGAATTAAAAAGGAGACTGAGCAGGGCTAAGGATCTTTGAAGCATCTCGTTCCCTTCTAAATTTTGTCCCCCAATATATGTGTGTAAAATGTGCACCCTGTGCTTGTACAGCCCTTACATAAAACATGCAGTTTATAATTCCATTCTACCATTTGTCCATTCCTCTCAAAAATTCTTGAGTTGCAATTATCCACATCTTCTAATGAAAGCCATGGAAAAAAGAATTCTCATTTCAGATCATCTTTTAGATCATCTTTCCTCCTTCACAGTACTAACATATCATTGAGATATAAAACCCAATAACCCTCACCACTGGTTGGGGCTGATGTGAGGGACCTGCCAGTTTTGAAAGGGGGCTGTAACAGATTGGCCTACATTAAAGGGTTGGTGCAAAAGGCAGAGAACAGGCCCAGCTTCCAAAAGCGAAGGAGAAAGGTGGAGCAAACAGGCAGCCTCATAGCCAGAAATGCAGTCTGATTGGCTAATGAAATTGGAGGGAAAAGCTCAGTAACTGGAGATGGGTGGAGCCAGAGGCAAAGAGAAGAAGCTGGGGCAGCTATTTTAATTTAATTAGGAGTTTGGTGTGGAAGAAGACAGGAGTTTTAAGGAGGGAGGGAGGAAGAAATTCGGGAACTGTTTATTTTATGAAAGATACCTCTTTGAGGATAATAGTTAATGGGCCTCTATAGTGATGAGAGTGCTGTGGGAGGGAAGGAGAAGGAAGGTTTAAAAGATCCTGTTCAGATTTCTGTGTGTGGAACTTTGTTTTAAGAAACTCAAGATATAAGTACCATCCTCTGTAAGAAGTAAAGCCTGACAAATTATTCGAAACCATTACACATATTGACTGTTCAAAATAAACAACATTTTCCTGTTTTATTCCAGCTGAAGTCTTTGTGTGGCTTTTTAAACATCCCAATAAAGGAGGTGGCCTATTAAAATAATAAATCGTTGGCAGCAAAAGAAACCTTTAAAAAATAATGTGAGGCAGCTAAAGCAAAATACAGTGGTAGCTTCCCACTGACTGGCCTTTTGTGTTTGAGGGTGTGGTGTGTGCTCTGATCCTCTCACTGCCTTGCCTTGGGCCAGATCTTTGTTCTCCATTTTGTGTATGGTGTTCCTCTTGCAAATTCTGCCTTCTGCCCCTCTCCCCATCCATCATTTGTTGTTTGCTGCAGGGGGTACAAGTTCACCCATCACTGTTTTATATGGTTGTACACACAAATGCATGCTCAACCTGCCCAGTTTCTATATCATCTGCATGTACAAGCTATAAGCCCTTAATCAAAAAAACCTTTTCTGCAACTAAATATGTGCAATCTGCTGTGAATGAACACTTGAACTAAAGGCCCTTGTATATGTCACTGAGAGTGATAGGTGTAATACTTTGCATGCTTGTGTTGTTTTGAAACTGACAAATGTATGTATTTTATTCTATTACTGAAATCAATAACCTGTTTTCCTTTGTTTTTGTTTTCTGATAAATCCTTGATAGCTTTTTCAAGAAAAGAAAAGGCAACTTAGGTGAAGAAACTGGATATTTAAAATATTGGTACATGCAAAAAGATAAATAACATTGTTTAGTTTCATTACTGTTTTTAAACTCTTACTTTGCAATGAAACTAATGACACCTCATAGTCAAGGGACTTTGATATATAAAAAATCTTATTTTTCTCTTTTCCCCCCTTTAAGACGAACAACAACGTATCCTTACACAGACACTCAGATGTACAGCCAAAATACTGGGGGGAATTACTTCGATACCCAAGGAAGCTCTGCACAGGTGACAACTGTGGTCTCTTCTCATAGTATGGTGGGCACTGGAGGCATTCAGATGGGTGTCACTGGAGGACAACTCATCAGCAGCACTGGAGGTACCTACCTGATTGGCAATTCAATGGAAAACTCTGGCCATTCAGTGACTCATACAACCCGAGCCTCCCCAGCTACAGTAAGTAGTTTGGATTGTTACGTATCTTTATAGCTAGATGCTTGGTCCTCATTATATCTTTCTGTTGTGTTTGTTTTCAATAACAGAAAGCATAGGTTGGCTCAATAAAGACAGAGTCCACCTACCACTGTTGCCATGCAACTTCTGTTTATTTCATTGTGACTTGCACAAGGACAAGAAAACGAGTAACAGCTACATAGCAACAGGGCATGGTGAATTTTGCTCCAAATAATTTGCACCCATTGTGTGCAAAGAAAAAAGCCAAAAAAGTGTATTCTTCCTTAGTATTGTTCATTTTAACTAGAATGAACACAAGCTGGTATTTCCTTCAATCATAAAAATAATTGTGAAATTTTATTAAAATTTGATAGTAGTATCATGATATATGTTGTTTGATTCCATTTCTGGCATTTGTATGTCAGCCTGTTCTGCTGGAAGTGTACCAGTCCTTGGGTTTAATGTGATTTTCTTGTCACCTTTGGTGGGTTTTGCATCACTTAAAGGTGTCTGGTCAGCAAGAACATTGAACATAGTTCTTTCACAGTCACCTGCCCAGTAGCATTTCTGAAAGTGCTCTCACTACCCATTAACCAGTGCTTTAGCAAAGTCTTCCTCAAAGCTTACCAATGGTATTTGCTTATGTATTCCCCTCAGACCACTAAGTAAGCACGAGCCATGCTTTGTTGCTAACAGTCTTGGGATAGGCACTGGCAGATTTCAGTCTTGTCAGTTTTGACAGAATTACAAGACCCACCAGTGAGAGCCAGGTACAAAATACTGGTGGGAGTTGGACACAAAATGACAGCTTCTTTATACATTATGATGATCTGAATATAAAAGTGGAAATTTACAGCTAAATTATTGCTACAAATAGATTGTAACAAAGGACGCTAAATCTGTGCAAATGCATGGCAGGAAGATTGCATTAGAACTAAACAATATTTCTGTTTTACAGTAAAAAAAATACTGATCCTGAGAGAGAAGAATTTAGTACTAGATTAGTCATTGCAGAGGCTTGTTTCACAGCTGTTCAAAATAATGAGTTTAAAAATGTGTAGGGATACCCTCCAAGCCTCCAGTAAACCCATTCTACCATTTGTCCACTCCTCTCTCAAAAAACCCTATTGAGTTGCAAGTATTTACCTCTTCTAATGAGAGTCATAGAAAGAAGAATTCTCAAGAGCACAACATTTCAAACAGTCTTTCCCTGTTCACAATGCTGTCCCAGACTTCCACTGGCTATCCATTTTCGCCTGTGGTTGCCTTAAGCATATACTTTGCATTACTTCAATTTTAATGTTATTTATTTATTTATTTTAAATTGTTTTTATTGTTTTATCCCACTCCCACCCTCCTCTTCTTGTACATGCAATTTATACAGCAAACTACAGAATTTACATTTGAAATATCAGTCTCAGTCTTAATTTTTCCACTCCACATCTTAGCACATTTTCAAAATAATTCCTAACTGGTTCCCACATTCTCTTAGTTATGGTAACCTTTTCAATTTTATCTATATTATTCCATTTACAATTTGTTATTTTAACATTTAACATATTAACTATATACTTATACCAATTAGTCAGTGCCCATTTTGTTTTATCATTCCAGCCCCTCACTAAAACAATTTGTGCACACGCTATTAATTTGTCAACCTATTTTCCCTTTTGTATATTCTTCACTCCTGTTATCCTTGTATGTAGTACATTTCTACTAACTATTATTATTTGTAAATTTAACATTCTATTGATTTCTCCTTCAATCATTCTTCAGTATTCTTGCACTCAATTGCATTCCCATATCATATGATTAAACGCCACTCTTTGTTCACAACCATGTCAACACCTGTCCTTTATCCCAGGTAAAAAGGGACTTCAGATTTAATATTGAGCAAGTAGAAGAACAGGTATTAGGAATAACTTGAGGGTTATGGAGGACTTTGCAGGAATAGCATTTAGCAGATAGCCAGTGTGTGGAATAGTGTAGTTTTGGGGCGGGGGGGGGGGGGGGCTTTAGGTCAAACTGCACACTTGACAGCCATTGAACTTTGCTATTGCTTGCTGGGAGCAAAGACGTACATTGTTAGATACAGGTAAAAGTGGCCTTAATAATTCGCAGAGCTTCAGTGTTGAAATCTGTCGCACTTGAAAGGGTGAGCTGCTCAGCAAGAAGGTGGGTCAGGATATAAACCTTTTGCTAGGAACAGTGAGGAGAGACAGCAAGGTCTGCACTGAGAGTGTTGATAGTGATTTGGCTTTTGCGCTGGGTAGCAAATCCATACCAACACAACCAGCTAGGATTAAATCATAATACTGAGTTGATATATAATCATAGACTACTGTAGATGTAAGTTAAACATCACTATTTCAGATTTGGATGATACATTAAATAGTGTTTAATTTTAAGTAGAGCAAAAGCTTTTGATTTCCTTGTAGCTCAGTCAGAGATGGAAAGGAAAGCTTGAAAATCCAGGATCTTGTCCAGTTCTTTCATCACTGCTCTTCTGAGTCCTAGACTTTTTCTGATTTCTTGTCTGTATTCTCCATTTTGATTAATGATTGAGCCAAGTTATGGAACTATTTCAGTGGCTTTAGTGTCTACTATAAAGTTATATAAACCATCTGTGATCATTAATTTTCTTAATGTGCAACTATAAACCTACCGCTGGACTTTCTTCCTTGACTTTCTTTAGTAATTGTTTTCATGATCTACACACTAAATGCTTTACTATAATCTATATATAGGCTGATTTTCTTTTGAAGTTCTTTGGTGTGCTCCATTATCTAACATAGGTTTGCAATATGATCCCTAGTGCCTCTTCCTTTCCAGAAGCCACCTTGGACATCCAACATTTATCATTTAATATATGGTAAAAGTCTTTGCTGTTGAAATTTGAGCATTTTTATTTGCATGGAAGATCAGATCAGTGGTCCTGTCGTGGTTACTGCAATGATATTGAGTTTTTCCAAACTGTGGGCCATTGTTTTGTTTTCCTTATTTTCTGACAGATTTTAGTAGAACCAGAGTAGATTCTGTTTCTATAGCTTGAAACAGCTCTATTAGTATGCCATCTGTTCCTGGTGTTCCATTTCTCCCAAGTGCCTTGAGTGCAGCTTCCACTTCACTTTCTGAAACTGGAGGTTCATCTTCATATGGTTCTTCCTTGAATGAATCTGTTATCTTTTCATCTCTTTCGTATACCTGTTCAGTGTATTGTTTGCACTGTTGTTTTATTTCTGTAGTTGGCCCCTGCTAGTCATAGAATACCCAATTTTTGGCTTAAATTGTCATTTGATTTCTTAGATCTTGTTGAAAAGGTTATTTGTTCCTTTTTCTTTTTTGATGTCCTATTTCTCCATTTAGTTCTCCTTGTCCCTGCACACAAGTTGTTGAACAGTTGCATTCAGGGTGCTATTACTGTCACCTTTTACATTTGCTTCTTGTTTTTTAACTGCTTAATTGTTATCCATTGAGTCTTTTCTCTCTTTGGTTGCAGATAGTGTCTTCTTTTAGCACTCCTTTCTGACAGTGTCCTAGGCTTTTGGGCAGATTTCTTCTACCTTATGCTTAATTAGGCTTCATAGTACAGATCTGTTTTTTTACATTATCCTTAATTCTACAAGAATGTTCTTTAGATTACATTTTGGCACAATGGTTGGTTTTGTGTTCTTCTTTAACTTTATTCTATTTTTTATATTAGCAGTTGATGATCTGTGCCACAGTTTGCCCCTATTCTTGTTTTTGCAGGGACAATGGATCTTCTCCACCTTTGCTTCCAATTATGTAAACTATTTGATTTCTATATTGGCCATTAGATGCTGTCCATGTATACACCCAGCTTGAAGAATGTGTTTGTAATTAACAAACTGTTAACCATGCAAAATTTAAGAAGTCGCTGTCCTAATTATTTCTTGATCAGAAACCAATTTTTCCTACCATTTTTGTTTCTAATGTCTTTTTTCCCCTTTGCATTCTGATCACCAGTGAATAACAGGAAGTCCTATTTGATTTGTGATTAGTTTCCTCTTGGCATCCAGCATAGAATCTTATGATTTCTTCTTCAGCGTCTGTAGTTGGAGCATAAACTTTATATGATAATTGAAATAGAGCATGATAAGTCAATCTAGTAATTGATACCAGCCATCTTTTATCTATGTTTTGAAGATTATTTTCTACTCAAGTTTGTTTAGTTGTCATGTCTCTTATATGTATTACCTAATCTATGGGCCTATGTCAGGATTAAGGCAGGATACAAATAAATGCATAAATAAATTTCATTGTTCTTGCTGAAGTTGCCAATGATGTAGTCTTCAGGGTACAAAGCATGTGCTCTGCCACTGAGCTCTGACCTTTCTCTTGTCTCCAGTTCTGGGACAGGAAGAACCAAATGCCAGTCTCAGCTCATCTGCTGAAGTGAGCTATATGGCTTCACCTTGTTCTCTAATGCAGCTGCTTACAAATAGCTGCTAATAAATGATAGATGAGAATAGAGAGGCTATGGTGTTTCTAATATTTATACTGAATGATTGTGGCTTAGAAATCCATTTGCTCTCCAGCTTCATTTGTATGTATGTGTTCAAAAAAGCAATAATAATTTGAATATTCTAACTTGAATGTTAAAAAGTAAGTCATTGATGCATTTATTTAGTTGTGTGCCCTCTAAAATCTTGTTATCCAGATTCCCACCCCCACCCCATGCCTAGAGGAGTATTCTAAGATGAAGAGGGTTACATGTAAAGTCATCATGATAAATATATCTTTATTTTGTCTTAGGAAAATTATTCAAAATCCTGTCCTAAAACTATTGACCACTATAGAGTTTTATTATTGAGCCATTGTAAACAAAACATTTTGTTTACTTGTATACAAACTTCTTTAGAACAACCATTTATTAATGGAGCAATATTTCTGGGAATCAGCGATAAAGCCAGTATAATTGCAGTGTGTTCTTTGTGGACATCCAACTGTCCATATTTTTCATGAGGTTTCCCTACCTATAAGAATTAGTTTTGTTCTATCTTGCATGAATCACACATGTTCTGAATATCCTCTTTGGAAATAATGTCAACTTCAGTTGTTCTTTGTGATAAGAATGTCCACACATTGTAAATGTTGGCCCTCTACAAGGGCCAAGATGTGTAGGTCTGTTCTGTTCCCATGTGAACAATACTCAGAATTACCATGTTAACTCAAGTCTAATGCTCACCTTTTTTGGCTAAATTATATTGCTAAAATTGAGGTGTGCATTAGATTGCATGGCACATTAGAATTGCACACACAAACCCATCTGCACTGTTGGACAAGAGATCCTAGCTGGGAACAGAGAACACAGCAGTGGTTGCTGTGAAAAGGCTGATGGAAAGCTGATGGTGGCCACAAAAAGATTGGTAGGAAGGGCAAATGGAGGGGAATTACTTCTCATTAGCCTTTTCGTGACCACCATCACCTCACATTACACTTGACAGCAATTTTTTTGTAATTCACACCTTAAAATTGAGGCATGCATTGCATTTGATGGCACATTATATGTGAGCAAATCCGGGTATATCACCTATGTAATAGCATGAATCTATGAAATACTATCAAGGGAAGTAAGCCTCACTCCCCCTTATTGGCCTTGAGACACCAGACCATGCTGGTTCTCTTCTAGCAAGCTTTTGGAACTATCCTGGTGACATATTCATCCTATTTCAGGGTTATTCACCGATGCCTGTATCCATTTGGGTTTTTGTGTATTTTTTAATTGATTAGTATAATTTAATGCTAGATTTTTTGGAAACTCAAGTGAGAAACTGGTAACAAATACATTAAGTTAATCTTTTCTAGCAAAACATTATTATGATACAGTTTAAAAGTTTCTATAAATGCTGTACTTTTATTAAGTATAAAACATGTGCTTTGTTTTGTTTTTTAAAATATTTTTATTGTTTTATCATAGTTATTACATTTGTTATACATTTGTTTAAAACATGTGCTTTGTATGCATGTATTCCCAAGTTTGAACCCTGACATCTCCAGTCAAACAGATCTCTGATGGCAGAGCTCAAAAAGACCTGTGCCTCTTTATAGGATTTGGCTCGATAGACTATTTGATATAGTCACACAAATAATACTAATTTGCTTCTTCATAATTTAATCAAGGTGGAATAATCACTAGAAAGTGTCTGTTCAGAAAAATCAAAGCATGCTTGTGGTTTCATCTATCCTGTGGAGTATTCTTTTCTAAACAAGTAATTAATTTCACGCTGCTATTTCACTCTGATTCAACAAAGTAGTCTTTTTTTCTCTCTTTCTCTGATAAGCTTGAAGGGAAGCTTTATGTTTCATTCATGTTATTTTCCATGTATAGACTCTTTTATTATCCCCTTTAATTAATAAGTGTTTAAGATTGCATTGGGATGTCTTCTACATCGGAAGGCTAGGAACCAAAGAATGAACTTGAGGGCTTAGAGGATAGATGCATGCACACCTGGGTTTGTGTGTGTTTCTTTTCCAGCCGCCATTACCAAAAGCACAAAATGCTTTCTAAACTGATCAGTACGTGACTGTAGTGATAATTGCTATGGCAAAAGCCTCAAACATAACACAAATTCTGAGTATGTGCTACCTATCACATTCTTTGAAGAAGGTCCCAAATATCATGCAGATGACTGGATCATGATGGTTTTTGAACAATCTAAAAATTTTAAGAAGAGCAGTTTGTTTATGACTTAAAAACAAAGAATTACCAGTCAAGAGAGATATAAAACAAAATTAAGCCCAATCAACTCTAAAGAGTCCAATGCTGTTTGGGAATTAATATTCATTAAGATTTACTCATAGATAAGAGAATGTGGGAATGGCACTTCAATCAATTATCTCAAGGTATTCATATGACATTATTTATGTACTTTATGTGGATTGTATAAAGTACACAAAGTTCTTAACTATTTTTGTTATGGTTTAGTAATAAATCATGTCTTTTATTTTTTCCTGAATGAGCAGAAGTGGGGTGGGATAGACTTTCTGAGAATGTCACTCTAGTGTTTGTGGAAGCAGTAATAAATGCAGTGTTTCCAGGTACAAAATATAAGGATCATGCCTTCAGTATATTGTAATTACCTATCTTTGAACTAAAGTTTCCTTTTCAACTTGGGTAATCTTTCAATATTTCTGTAGTCAGTCTTTTATTACTATCTTGTCTTGAGCCCTTTTTTTTAATGACATCTATTATCAGATTGAAATGGCGATTGAGACACTGCAAAAGTCTGATGGTCTGTCCACTCACAGAAGCTCTCTTCTCAACAGCCATGTAAGTTGCCTCTTCTTTATGTAAACTAATCCCTTGCTTGTTCTGCATGCTTAGCCTGCCTTCTAAATACTTATTTTGTTTTGCTTCTTTCTTTTTCTTTTTGATCTTCCTTTCCACTTTCAAATTTCTACACTGCTGAATGCCATATCTTTTTTTCCCAAGAAAAATGTCAGTGCACCAAATTTAGTCTTTGATTTCCTTGTTCAAATAGTATTGCTTATGATTTTAATATATATATGTTTCCCAACTTATGTTAAGCAGTTTAAAATAACAATTCCAGTTAAACCCGGTTTAAAACAGGATTCGTGATACTGTTTTACAAATGTTTAATTTGTTCTCATTTGACAAGAAACATGATGTGACAATTATGACTGGAAATGTTATGGTTTTAAAGGAAAGAAATTCAGCTGCATCTATATGAAACTCTCTTCCCTAGATCAGCATTATTAAAAAAATAGTGGTCCGTGGACTGCTGCTGGTGTGCAAGCTATTGACCAATGACCCATGGAAAGTTTCCGGGAAGGAAAGTAATAGTTGTATTCAGAGGGCCCAAATATGGCGATGTTCTCTGGTATGTTGGGATAATACCCAGTAGGTCTTCAACATCAGATAACTTAATAATAATAATAATAATAATAATAATAATAATAATAATTATTATTATTATTATTATTATTATTTTATTTCTTACCCGCCTCTCCTCATGGCTCAAGGCAGGTTACAAAACAATTAAATACATAAGCACAGCAAAAACACTATGAATGCACACACTAAAACGTACCTCCATAAAAGTTGTGCATTAAAACGTATATCTACAAAATACATACCAAAAAACACAAAACAGAGGTCAAACAAAGGACACTTAAAATTTATATTTAAAGACTGTCTGGGTAGACCTGCCAGAAGAGATAGGTCTTTACATGGTTTTAAAATTCCAACAGTATATTTAGCCATTGGAGTTCTTCCAGCAGGTCGTTCCACAGTTGTGGGGTGGAGGATGAAAAGGTCCTCTGGATGGTAGTTGACATTTGGGTTCTGGCTGATTGGAGAAGACCAAAGTGTGTGGGACGGATTGTATGAGAGAAGGCGATCCTTTAGGTAACCTGGACCCAAACGGTGTAGAGGCGTTAAAGGTAAAAACCAACACCTTATACTTTGCCTGGAAACCAATTGACAGCCAGTGGAGTTAGTCTAGGATAGGTATGATATGCTCACTCCTAGATGTTCCTGTAACTAACCTGGCTGCTGTATTTTGAACCAGCTGAGGTTTCTGAACTTGGTACAAGGGTAGCCTAATGTAAAGCACATTGAGAAATCCAACCTTGAGGTTACCAGTGTATGCACTACCATTTTCAGGTCCTCCAAATCTAGGAAGGGGCACAGCTGGCGTATCAGCCAAAGCTGATAGTAAGCACTAGTGACCATCGCTTCTACCTGGGCCGACATTTTGAGAGACAGATCCAGGAGTACTCCCAAGCTGCGAACACAGTCTTTCAGGAGGGGTATAACCCCATCCAGAACTGTTGACACACCTCTTTCCTCAGATGAGGACCCTTGATGGCAAGCACCTCTGTTTTGTCTGGATTCAGTTTCAATTTGTTTTTCCTCAATTTGTTTTTCCTCACCCATTACATGCTCCAGGCATTCATTCAGAGGAGGCACACAATCCTTAGCTGAAGCTGTTTTTTAAAGGCATGGAGAAATATATTTGGGTGTCACCAGCATACTAATAACACCCTGCCCCATACTTACAAATAATCTCTCCCAGTGGCTTCCCAATATGTAAATATTAAAGATCATTGGGGATAGAATGGCACTCTGTGGGACACCACATAACAGCTACTTTTTGGAGGAGTAGCTGCCCTCAAGCATCACGATCTGGAACCTGCCTGAGAGATACGACCATAACCATTGCAGTATAGTGTCTCAGATGCCTAGCACCTCCTGAAGCTTAAGAAGCACTTCCTTAGATAACTGCATATTCTAGAGTTATAGAGTACCAGTTACCAGGATCTAAACATCCAGGTGAAAAAATAGAATAGAATACGAAGGCATTTCTTTTTAGAAGCTGAAGTTATGTACATTAAGAACTGGCTTGCCCTCACCCCAGCATCTTTCCAAGTATATCCTTCTTCTTTTTGTAAGTTAAATTTCATTATAATGTTGAAATAGGGAAATTATAATGGGGAAATGTTGAAGAATTGCCCTTCAACCTGACAGTGTATTATCCTGATATCTCTGGCCGGAATGTTAAAACAGGGTATCAATGTCCTTCAGCACAGAGCAACTACAGGAGTCTAACTGCATTGAACTGCATTCACTGACCATATAATGCTGTCCTAAACTGCATTATGTACAATGTAGATCTAGTCTTAGTCAGACTAGTGGATCTTACCTAATTGATTTGAAAGATTTACTCTAATCACAATCAAATCATAATCTCATTGAGTTGAATCTGCTGTTTTTTAAACAGTAGAAGCACTCAGGTTACTGTGGGTGGTAGAAAGGGAGAAAGTGGATTCTGTTCATTTCCCTTTCCCTTGACAGCCTTTAGCAAAATTTTATATACTGTTGTAGAGATTTCCAAGTACTCAGAGGCAGATTTTGGGGAGCGGTGCAACACAGAGACTTTAGGAAGAGGGGGAAATAAGCAAAGTTTGGCCCCTCTCCCATGCTATCAGTAGAGGTACTCTGCTTGAATAGAGGCCTGTGGATAAAAAGAGCTTTTACTTGCATGGGAGACATATACTGGATCCCATTGAAAATATTCCTGTTAATGGTAGAACCCACAAAAATAAAGTATTGTAATGAATTAAGCAGCTCCATCAAGATAAATACAAGCTGAAATAAATATAAAGGAGAGCCAGATATGCTTGTACATATGCTTGCAGTTTTGCAATCAAAAAGAACAGAAAGCATCTGGTTTTTTTCCAGATGGAATTAATTGCAGGGTTATTGACATCTGGAGTGATCTAGGTTAAGGCTTGGAAATGCTCAGGCCACTGAGTGTGGTGTGATGAGGATGTCCTTGGTATGGAACATCTAATGAGAAGAAAGGGCTCGGTTCTTGCTTGCAGTTTATCTAAGTCTCAAACCCCACTGTGTAGGCCCAATCTGTGTGCCTGCAGGTACTGGTGTTTAATCCTATTTCCTAAATCCTATTTCCCTTCCCTGGTGCTTCTTCAGTCCTCATTGCACTTGTCACTGCTCAAAAGTCTTTGAATAATGATTTTTGTGCCCCCTGATCATTCTTAAATCACAAAGTGATAGCTATGTCCAAGAGTGTTCTTCTGTCAGAAGGATCTCCACTGCTTCCTCACTCCCTCATGCCCCTATCTATGTGTCCCCCAAATGTGGAAAGGTCCTGTGGAGCACACATAGGGTACATGCAAGGAAGAGAAGGGGAACTGAAGGTCTCACTGTATGAGCAGAGATCGTCAACATTTATACAACACTTTGTATTTATCTGAAGGAGTAGATATACAGCTGTCATTAAATAAATGAAACGATTTAGACCTAATGCTAGCTCTAAGATAAACATAAGCTTAAATACTGAAATCTTAAAATGAAATTTCTGGTGACATTATCCCAATAACAGTACAAATCTGTTAACATATATGATTGACAGATAAATGAACAATATGTTTTAACATATTTGTGAATTACATGATCTCTACATATTATTAAGTATTTTTCTATATTGCTTTTTTCAAATGAGTAGAGTTTCATAAAACAATTACAGTGTTCTTCAGGTTTTGCTCTGTCTTTCTTTTACAGGTAAGCCAGACCAGCCATGTTATTTAAAAAGCGAGGGCTATATAAAGTTCAATTTTAATTTTGCACTGGCCTTTACAGTAGATGCATCTCACAATATTACTTTTTCCTCATAGAAAATCTAGTGATCAAAAACTGAAGGTCTTACCTTTCTGTGGACATTTTCTCATAGAAATATAAAGTAGAGGATTAAAGTGAAATGCCTGAGAAATAAACCCTCTTGATTAATTTGAAATATTCATTTCCCATTATATTTAGAAAATAAGATAACTTTGTTTACATAAATAATTCTAGGATAACTGATTAAATTAAATTAATAGGGTGTTGTTTCCTATAGATACTTTATAAAATCAAGCTACAATTTTCAAAAGAAAGCTACAGGATGTTTGCTATTATGCATTGCTTGATATTACATGTTGATGCAATCTCTATTATTGTGGTCATCATTTACTCATTAAAATATTTCAAAGTAGCAAACCTTCATTGTCACCCAAAAATAAGGATAGTAAAGGATGTTACGAACATTTAAATGGTTTGTATAGCTCATTTTAATGCATTTTAATATTTTGAAAGTTTTCTGCATAGTTTGTTTTTCAAACCTTATACTTTTATATTATTATTTTAACTAGTACTGTTTGAATATGTTGTTAATTGCACCAAGTCCCATTATTGAGAGAACAACAGGGTATAAATGAATAGAATATTAATAATAATAAATAATTTCATGCAGAGTTCATTGTGATTTTTTTTTTTTTGGCCTTACTACTTCCAGAAGGATCTCTGTTCAAATCGAAGGATTATGTCTTAATTACTGCGGAAGGGTGATTCGCACTATACTTAAGCCATTTTGTAAAACATAAAACTGTTGAAATTGGTCCTGTAGTTAAGGAAGAATAATGAGATCTCAACCCTAATTTTGGTGGTACTGGATCAGAATCCTTTGAATCTTAAATCTGAATTTCTTCTGTGCTCATCTCAATTTCCCACAATCCTTTTTGCATGGAATGAAAGAATGTAGGATGAAATTTAGCAGAGGGTTTTTAACATTATTGTACATGTTTGCATGTTAGCAACAATGTCTGGCAAAAGGTTCAGTTTGAAATATATTGGATAGATAAATTGCTCGAATTAAAACCTTACAACTAACTGAAAAACCTCATACATAGTTAATGACATTTTTTCCCTTTAAGTGGATTGTAAATAGGGATACTTGTTCTTGCCCTCTCCTTCTTATAGTTTCTCACATACTTTGATGTCCATCCCTTGCTTGCACCAGCACCATATATTTCAGTTGTACATGTATGGAAAGTTCTGCTTAGCTATAATTTTAATAGCCACAACTGTGCTAATGCTACCATCTCATATTTTCCTTGAAGAATTCAGGATTCACCAGCATATGCTGCACTGTGCAAGAGGGTGGTTGGTTTACTCATACTTGATGCTTTGTGCATACTTATATTTATTGATTTTTACCTTAAAACTATGCATGAGGTAAATCAATGGTTCAGTCTTTAGTCTTCAGTTATTGTTCAGCTGCAGCTCTCAGAAACCCTAGTCAGCATGACCATGGTGAGGGATTATGGGAGTAGCTGTCTAACATCATCTGGAGATCCACAAATGGTTTACAACATCCTTATTTTCATTTCAAAATCCAAAAAAATCCCAATGAAATATGTATTGATTTTATTTTTTTTATCTTGGACTTGGTCAACAGAATTTACAGGCAGTCCCTGAGTTACAGGCATCCAACTTACATACAACTTCTAGTTACAAAAGGGGATGAGATAAGCGGAAGTGAGAGGAAATCTACCCCAAGGAAGAGAAATTTACTTCTGAAAGAGTTATCATGGGGGAAAGGTGTCTCCACTGAAGGTTTATCACCAATCCTTATTTTCACAACAACCCAAAACTTTCAAAATCCAATTATCACAGGGACAGAGAGAGAGAGGTGAAATCTTCTAAAAACAATGTCTGGAGTTTCATTTAAACATGTACCTGTCCTGACTTACATAGAAATTCAGCAAGAACAAGCTTACAGAATATATCCTGTTTGTAATCCAAGGATTGCCTGTACATAATTAATTTCTGTCAAAAGTGAAATGTATTAGACAAATGTATTTAAAAGTATATGAAATAAGTTATAAACCATGGTAGGGTTATACTTATAATTTAATTGCTAAATGTGAGTGATTTTAGTAATTGCTATTCATTATTTCCCTTTGGGATAAATAGCAATAGCATATGTACTCTTTCTTGGTTAATTATAATGAGTTAAGTGCAAAATTTGAAGCTAAGATATTTTTGGTTTCCTTAGATATGCTTATTTCAGTTCATTAATGAAGTAAGTAAGTGTTCTTTATATACTAAGGTAAAAGTTACAATTTCCCCCAAAGTATTGTATAGTTTTTATGTTCATAGTGTAAATAACTAATTTAAAAGACTTTTCTGAATGTGATATCTGGAAATGAATTGTGTATTTGAGCTAAAATAATATTATGTATTGTTTGATATGTGTCAATGAAACAGCAAGAGCAAGCCCTATCTCAAATCAGTCCTGAGTTCTCAAGTGTTTCCCAGTGTATGTAGTTAGAGTGTTTAAAGTATTGTATATTCATTATCTCAATAGCAAATAAAAGAAGAGCATGAAAGGACACCCCGGGCCTTTTTGGGGTTCCTCAGGCTCTAGCAGCCATCCAAACATTTACTCTGCTTTGTTTTTATTCCCAAATGGCCCCAAGCTTCTGCAATTTTGTCATGTTTTGGAGGGCTGAGGGCCTTTACACCCCACATTTTGGAGGTCCTGTGTGCCTTCTTTTCCTTAGGAAGTAACCTGGAAAATGGCTACCTGTCTCTCCTGTGCTACAAATGACCTGAGGTGGGGACCAAAACATAGCAGAATTGCCTTTCTTACATACTTCCTATTGGGCTAGGGGATTTCTGGTGCATTTTTTAAAATTATGGTGGCTGGAGAGTATCGTAGCCCATCAAGGTCTCTGGGGAGACAAGCAACCCCCCCCCCATACTTTACATCACCACAATAAATCAATGCAATATTATTTTCAGATAAATTATCATTATTGTTATTTTTGATTATACTACTTGGAGGATAGAGGTAAGGTAGGGGCTTAAGTACCCTTAAGCCACTAAATCCCATCTGGTTTTAAAACCTAAGGAGGAGAAGTCCTGTTAGTTTTTTGATGGGTGACCAATGAATACCTAGTACGGTAGGCTATATTTCACAGGAAGAAAGTGGTAAAATCGCCTCTCAATATTCTTTGCCTAAGGGAACCGTATGAATTTCATGGGGTAGCAATATGTTGACACACACTCAAATATAGTATGCCTCAGTTGTCTGAGGTTTTGAAAACATTGAGCTGGCTCTCTAATTAAAACATTCCCCCCAATTGTATAGCTGTTGCTAGGATTCAAATAAGAGCAAGTATATACTTTTAAATATTAAATTCCAGAGTTCTGTTCATTGGCTACGCATAATGCAGTCCTGAGAACAGAGAGCCCTGGAAAGTTTCTCAAGACAATGCAGTATGGGTTTTATTAACATTTCCTCTGTTTTTCTGTATATTTCAAATGGGGTAGGGACACTAAATATTCAAAGTAGTGACTATTCCATGGCCACTCAGTGAGTTTATGGCAGGGGCATGACTTCAGCTGGAGCCTTCCTCTTTCACTGCTGATTCTCTTATGCACTGTTTAATAATTTCTACATTCTATTTATCATCATTGGCAACACATTTAACAGGTTTCTATTTCAAACTACAATCGTAAGAATTAAGAGTGATATGAAAATTAACACAAAAAAAGTTCATAGTTCTTGGTTGAATCTAGTTGTAAATACAATATTTTAGTATTGTACAATGGCTAGGCTTTATATTATGCATCCAACTGCACCTTTCCATTTTCTGCCTTCTTATGCAAAGGGTTTATCAACCCCCCCCCCAAAAGATATTCTACAGTCTTTAACACTTGAAGTAGTTAGTCTTATGTTGTTTATGCAACTGTTGGAAGTATATTCTGTCCTTGAAAAATGCTGCCAACTTCGTTTTATATTGATCTGTATGTGAAACTCTTGTGGCATTTGAAGATTTTTCTTCTTTAATTTTATAGTCGATTTGATATTTCAGATTGAACATGGATTTTAAATAAGGACTCAGGTGTATGCATGTTTTTGTATTGAAGTGCTCATAATCCTTCATCACTTGCTATGCTAACAAGGGCTGGGAGGAGTTATAAACCTCAGGAGCCCCACATGCCCCCCCTTTGTAATATGAAATAGCTGAGCTATAGATGTTTAATAAGATTTACGTTTGACTCTGTTGATGAGGAATTCAACACAAATTTGCAGAAACTTGAAAGCTGACTTGGAAAGGCATCAAGGAAAGGAATCCATTTCTTATCAAACATGTTTCTATGAAAGGACTTCATTGAAACATGTGTGTTCTTCTTTTTAAACATTTTATTTAACTAGAACTGTAATATGAAGCTCAAGAGGTTTGATTTTATGAGGCTCCTCTCTTGATAAGTAGAGTCTGCTTTGGATATATTACCTCTTAACATAGGAGCATGGATGCTCATGTATATGTTTATTATATTGTAGGGGCAGAATTTGATGCATATTTCTGTTCGTTTGTTTTTTTAAAAAAACTGCAATAATCTTAAACTTGGCAGTTCATATGATAGAAAAGCATGGGCTAACGCAACACTCCCTAAGAACATTTTTCCTTTTTGTTTCTGTGAATTACAGTATTGCTTATCTTCTTCAAATGCTAACACTTATATCAGAGTTCTTATTAGTATTCGTGAAATTATCTGAAGCTATTTTTGTAAAGTAACTTATATTGCCAGAGGTTCCAAGTATTGTAATTCTACCATTTCCTTATATTTTAAGATTATTTTAAGATGAACTGGGACATTTAACTTATCTATGGAAAATTTCCTAGAGGTAGGACAAGTTGTGGGTGCCTAAGCATTAAGTACAGTTTTAGTTTTTGCATTGTTTAATCTCTAATTAAATAATTTTTACTTTAAAAAAGCCTTTAACTTGATTTTTGTTTGTTTCCCAAACTGAAATAGCTCCAGTGGCTTTTAGACAACTATGAAACAGCAGAAGGAGTGAGTCTCCCCAGAAGCACCCTCTACAACCATTATTTGAGACATTGTCAGGAGCATAAATTAGACCCAGTTAATGCTGCCTCTTTTGGAAAACTAATAAGATCAATTTTCATGGGCCTACGGACCAGAAGATTGGGAACCAGGTTAGTATAATGAAAGAAAGTTTTTAGTTAATGAGAGAGAATTCCTCCCTCAATAACAAGCACAGTGTCAATATCAAGAGAAATAGAATTAAACCACACTACTGAGAAACACAGGGGAGATGTTAGCATGCTCAGAAAACTCAAGTTTGCTAAAGTACAGGAATATTTTTAGGATAAACCAGAATGAAAGATTGTTCAGAGAGGAATGAAAGATTAAACTGTTTTAATGTGTATGTAGAAATCCATTGCATGGACCCATTTTAAATTCTTTTTAAACTGGTTGTCATAAATATGTAAATATGTAATTAACAGCATAAGACAAAACAAAAATGTGAATAACAGTGGCTAAACATTTAACATATTTGCCTTCTACTGAAATGTATGAAACTTAGAAAACTAGAGACCTGCATAAGAGAACTAATTATCATAATCATTTAAACCATCACCATTCCCCTCCTTTTTAGAAGTATTTTTAAAGCACTTACGTGAAGATGCCAATGTTATAATTGGTTATAAAACATGTGCCATTGAAACCGGCTGAATATCAGATTCAGGTGTTTTTCCTTCAGCTGGAATTAACATCATTCCATCTGTCCTTACTTACAGAGCCCAAGACGGGGGCGAGTGGGGGGGGGGGGAGGGTCATCAAAACAGATTTTGTGCTAACAATTAGCTTCCATTTGTGACCATCCAATGTTTTCCCAATTCCCCCATATTTTTTCTTGACATTGGTAAAGTAACAGGTAAAGCCATTTTTAAAAACAGGTAAAAGTGGAATGACTGTACAGTGACTTTTGTTTATATCACTAGAAGATATCCATCTGGAAGCAACTTTAACATTATGAAACAGGATTCTGTTTAAAATCTATGAAATGTCATGAACAGCTAAAAGTGTCAGTGGCATCTCTGCCACTTTAATTGGCATCATAGTAATCCTCACAACAAATCATCTTATTTTTAATATTTGAGAGGGTTTTTTTTCTTCAAAGGGGGAATTCCAAATATCATTACTATGGGATTCGTGTCAAGCCAGACTCTCCTCTTAATCGACTACAAGAGGACATGCAATATATGGCTATGAGGCAGCAACCCATGCAGCAGAAACAAAGGTAAAGTATTGTCAAACTGACCATACTATTTTATATTTAACATCTTTTATAGCTTCCTGATTTTTAGTAGTGAGTGATGGGTGTGTTGATAGGTAAGGACAAGATATAATTATCTGAAGTGAATACTCCCCTTAACATGACCAAGTCTAAAAAACCCCATATGCATCAGATCCTATCTGATCTTGGTCAGATCTGGTTAGTGTTTTGATGGGAGAGCACTATTGAATACCAGGTGCTGTAGTTATATTTCAAAGGAATGAACTTTCAAAATCATTTTTGAGTATTTCTTGCCTTTAAAAAACCCTATGAAATGCATTAAGTCTCCAGGCGACATGAAGGCATATATACAAACGCACAGTCAATGATAGGGTCCAAATAGGTGCTCCCGCATGGGTCTTTCAAATAATTGGAATTCTATCTTGCTGTAATATTATGTCATCATTTCATAGCAAATCGTGTGCTTTTAAAGTTATGAAAAATATATTGTGCTTTTTGTGTTTCCAGGCGTTTCTCAAAACTGAAGTCATCAGAAGTGCTCATATAAATAGAGGAATAAGATTTAGCTTTTAGTTAAAATCTTTTTTAATGGTGATAATGAAATTAATTGTGGCACCAGGATGCAGTTTCATTCTATAATAATAATAATAATAATAATAACAACAACAGCAACAGCAACTACTACTACTACTACTACTACTACTACTACTACTTCTACTTCATTTGTAACCTGAGGAGTCTCAGGGCAGTTTCTGACAAAGGTAGCAAACATTAAATGCTGAAAAACAGACAACAAATCAAATAAAAAACAATAAATAAGGACAGCATCAATATAAACTTATACTGACAACCCAAAAATAACAAGAATTAAGAACTTAAATATACATAATATAATACATCAGACACACTTACCACTTGATAAAATCTAATGAATAAAAAGTATTAAAATATAGGGTGATTTACATTAGCCAACAGGGTTGAGGTAGATTTCCGGTACATAAACCAGGGCATGTTTAACAATGTACTAGTCCGCCTTCTCTCCTCATATACAAATCTAGCACAGATAGGTTTATTTAATAATTAAGAATAACACATATTGCGTTAGTTTAAAAATATTTTGCTTATACTTTACTGACTACACCTATTAGTTACATGGTAAACATCAAAAAGACATGTGAATTAAGTGTAAAACCATTCCTGTTTTTTGGATTACTCGTACCTTGGCTGACAAACATAAGCTAATTTTGCACTGCCTAGGTGCTACCTAGCAACATTTCTTTCTTTTCATAATTCACATGCAGTTTCGTTGCAAGGGAACACAGAAGTTTAACTTCAGTCTGGCAGAGGTGTTCAGCATTTTCCTTCTCTTGTTTATGGCAACTGTCTCTCAGGAAACTTGAGAAAAAATACCCTGTCCTATATTTTATTTATTTATTTAATATATTTATTTACCGTCCCTCTCAGCCCGCAGGCGACTCGGGGTGGTTTACAATTGGTGCCAGGACCATAAAATACAATTTCAATACAATAAAAACAATCAGATAATAAAACCATAACAAATTCAATAAAAACAAAAAATAGTTACTGTTGACTGGATTACCTAACATTTACAGTAAGCTCTCCACATTTTCTGGAATTAGGGGTGCAGGAGGGCCAATGTGGTCCCAATCTTCAAGAAGGGAAAAAAGGATGACCCAAACAACTACCGTCCGGTCAGCCTCACGTCGATACTGGGCAAGATTCTGGAAAAGATTGTTAAGGAAGCGGTCTGCAAACACTTAGAAACAAATGCAGTCATCGCTAATAGTCAACATGGATTTATCAAAAACAAGTCATGCCAGACTAATCTGATCTCTTTCTTCGATAGAGCTACAAGCTGGGTAGATGCGGGGAATGCCGTGGATGTAGCGTACCTGGATTTCAGTAAGGCCTTCGACAAGGTCCCCCATGACCTTCTGGCAAGGAAACTAGTCCAATGTGGGCTAGGCAAAACTACGGTGAGGTGGATCTGTAATTGGTTAAGTGGACGGACACAGAGAGTGCTCACTAATGCTTCCTCTTCATCTTGGAAAGAAGTGACAAGTGGAGTGCCGCAGGGTTCCGTCCTGGGCCCGGTCCTGTTCAACATCTTTATTAATGACTTAGATGAAGGGCTAGAAGGCATGATCATCAAGTTTGCAGACGACACCAAATTGGGAGGGATAGCCAATAGTCCAGAGGACAGGAGCAGATTCAAAATGATCTTGACAGATTAGAGAGATGGGCCAAAACTAACAAAATGAAGTTCAACAGTGACAAATGCAAGATACTCCACTTTGGCAGGAAAAACGAAATGCAAAGATACAGAATGGGGGACGCCTGGCTCGAGAGCAGTACGTGTGAAAAAGATCTTGGAATCCTCATGGACAATAAGTTAAACATGAGCCAACAATGTGATGTGGCGGCAAAAAAAGCCAATGGGATTTTGGCCTGCATCAATAGGAGCATAGTGTCTGGATCTAGGGAAGTAATGCTACCCCTCTATTCTGCTTTGGTTAGACCACACCTGGAATATTGTGTCCAATTCTGGGCACCACAATTCAAGAGAGATATTGACAAGCTGGAATGTGTCCAGAGGAGGGCGACTAAAATGGTAAAAGGTCTGGAGAACAAGCCCTATGAGGAGCGGCTTAAGGAGCTGGGCATGTTTAGCCTGAAGAAGAGAAGGCTGAGAGGAGATATGATAGCCATGTATAAATATGTGAGAGGAAGCCACAGGGAGGAGGGAGCAAGCTTGTTTTCTGCTTCCCTGGAGACGAGGATGCGGAACAATGGCTTCAAACTACAAGAGAGGAGATTCCATCTGAACATGAGGAAGAACTTCCTGACTGTGAGAGCCGTTCAGCAGTGGAACTCTCTGCCCGGAGTGTGGTGGAGGCTCCTTCTTTGGAAGCTTTTAAGCAGAGGCTGGATGGCCATTTGTCAGGGGTGATTTGAATGCAATATTCCTGCTTCTTGGCAGGGGGTTGGACTGGATGGCCCATGAGGTCTCTTCCAACTCTTTGATTCTATGATTCTATGAAAAGTGGGGAAACTGAATAATAAGCTTTTTTTACCCTCAGTAAAATCTCTCTAGGTACCTGTAGGTCTTCCAGTTAGACCAGAAGTTGACTGTAGAATCATGATGGAAGTCAGCTATGGTCAACTGCTACTATAAAGTCACACTGGAGTGCCTAGAGATTCCTACAAAGAACACATTAATCAAATCTGTGAACAATGAAATCTTCCCAAGTCAAACCCGCAAATGTGAAACGTCAGCTGCAGTATACTACTGCAGTGTTCATTCTACAGTGTTTCCAGAGGCATGCATTGAAAGCATTTGATTCATTTGACAAATATTAGCAACTTCTGCAGTTGCTTGCTTGGATACAACTTTCATTTTTGTTCTGGCTCTCCCTGCCCCTCAAAAAAAAACCAACAAAAAAACAACAACAACCCTGAAAGCTATTTATTTGCTTAGCAATCATTGCTTAGGAGAGACACATTCAACAATTTTAATGCTTGCCTTGACCAGAAATAATATTGAAATAGTGACTTACTTTCCACCTTGTCAACATGAGCAGATAGATGTTCAGGCTTGTTGTATGTGTTTTGTGTATTGATGATAATAAAAGCCAGTAAAACTCTCCCATTTACAGTTGTTTGTTTGACAAGGACAGCCATAGAAAAGAAAAACATGAATGCTGCTAGCAATATTTCTTTCATTCTTTTAATTAAGATCCACAGAATAATCAGAAATTGCTTTTAAAACTTATGCTAACCTAGTAGTGACCTTTTAATTGTATATGTATGGCAAGACTTCTTTATAGGAACATTGGCCTTCTTGTAAATTAGTCAAGCTTTAATTACAACCAACTTTTCCTATGGGCTTCAGTGTGACTTAAAAGTGTTACTAGCTTAGTCTGGATCCAGCCCAAAAGATTAGGGTTTTTAATGCCTTCTATTATAGGCATGCAATTGTGTTGTCATGTTCTTAAACAGCCCAATGGGAAGGAACGGAATGTTCTTTTTAATAACTTTTTTTTGCTAATAATCTATTGCTATTGCTGTCATAATTTTTTGTATGTGTTATCTTATTTAGCTAATATATAGGGAAGAGGCTAATAGCAGATTTTGCTATATAACTATATCTGATTAAGTAGGCTGTGGTACAGCAACCAATCTTTCATACATTCTAGTAAGTCATCCCTGTGTCAAACCATGTTTAACACAGCTGGTAAATCATCAGCAACTATTAGATCTATCAACTGATAGGTTGCAAGTTCAAACCCCGGATTGGCATGGGCAGCCAATCGTCAGCCCTGCCCAATGTTTACCTAAGCAGTTCGAAAGCAGTTTTATCTGTAATTAGAGAAATTAGGTACCACTAAAAAAAAAGCGGAGTGTTTTACAATGCCATAAAGAAAAAGATCAGAAAATGCTGGAATGAGGAAGTCCTGACGGCTCTTCGTCATAGAGATTGGAGTGACAGCACCCCCTGTGGCATGACTCAAAAACCTCCTGTTCTCTCTGTGTACTGTGTACTGTCTATACAAATGGCATTGAATGTTTGCCGTGTACGTGTACTTGTGATCCACCCTGAGTCCCCTTCGGGGTGAGAACGGGGAAATAAAGTGTTGTTGTTGTTGTTGTTGTTATCCTACTTTTGAGCTAATATGTCCAGGATCTGAATACTTAACTAGACCCTCTTCCTTAATCAAGAGAGTGTATGCTAGAGAACACTGAAGTTTTTTCTTCATGGCCTCTGTGAATGCACACTTATGGAGAATCTGCGCCTGCGCAGGTCCCAACGGAAAACTTCCCAAGTTGAAACTTTCAAGTTTTGGCGGTAACTCCGCCCAGCCTCCTGCAGGGCATAAAAGGCGCCCTGCGCACGCACTCCGCCATTCCTGTTTTTTCCGCCGCACGTCCCGCTCGGAAATCCCTATTATGTCAATGACTAGATTTAAGCATTGTGTACAATG